AGCCAAAACAACATTTTAATAATTATACCAATCATGTCACTTATTGGGAAGACCTGATAGCTATATTGCTTAGCAACAATAGTTTAACGTCTGTCAGTAACCCGGGGGTTGGATGGCCGAATGGTTAGCACGTGCGTGCTGTATCATAAGGCCTGTCATTGAGTCAACTGGCGTGGTTTCGAATCCCCGGTTGTATGTGACAAGGAGTAGGGTCGCCTGTCCAACCTCGTGGGTTTTCTCCTGGTCCTCCGGTTTCGTCCCACTGCTAAAGACCCCAACGCGGAAGCGAATTATTGAAATAAAATTAAAAACCATATGTTAGTCCCGAAATGACCTAGTTTGTGTCGAGTGGGCGTTAAACCATCTCCCTCTCTCCCTCTCTCTCTCTCCCTCTCTCTCTCTCTCTCTCTCTCTCTCTCTGCCAGTAACCCAATCTGATTAAAACACAGATCCTATTTCGTTTCGGGTTTTTTTATAGTTCAAAATTTCATTTTACTTATCTTTACTACACAAGGATCTGGAAGAGTTGTTATATTACTGGCGTTTTGGTTGAAGTGAGGGTAAGTCAGTGAAACGGTCTTACGGCGACTTCTTGGCGTGCCATGCACGGAACTTTGGTAAACCACTAGAAACTTCAACGCTGATTGATTAATCAATGTCTGACGTCATAGGGTCAAATGTCTCACTCATAGGGTCAAAAGCCGCTCGTATGAGCCTTGACACGACCTCCGTGTACAATTTGTCAGATCTTCGTGTAGTGAAGGCCATCGAAAGTATAAAGAAAAGAAACGAAACATAGATCTGTATTTTAATCAGATTGTCAGTAACCAAAATATCAACCAGTTGTTATACGCCCACATTTTCATGTGGACATATATTGTCGTCGCCCCTGTCCGTCCACAATTCTTATCCGATTTTGACGAAACTTGAAATATAGGTTTATCTCCAAGAGATCTCGGTTGCTTTCGATATTGGCATGTATCGGACCGAAACTTCATGGATTGTGGCCTCTGATTGTAAGAAAAATCATGTTTTTAGCTTGTGTGCCTTATAGAGGTCATAATTGTTATCCAATTTAAAAAACCGTTTTAGTATATCACCGTTACACCATAAGGATGGTTAAGTTCGAATTTCGTGAAAATCGGCCCAAAACTGACAAAATGACCGTCCCTCGTTCTCAAATAGCGTAAAAATATGGTATATCAATGTTGTGGACCCTCTAGAGGTCACAATTTTCTTCTGATTTTGATGAAACTTGACATGTAAGTTTATAACCCAAAGACCCCGATTCCTTTCAATATTGGCGCATATCGGACCGTACCTTCCTGAATTATGGCCCCTGATTGTTCGAAAAATCGCATTTTTAGCTTGCGGATTCTCTAGAGGTCACAAATTTTTTTTCCAATTTTTGAAAACCGTTTAAATATTTCACCATTCCACCATAATGGAGGTTGAATTCGAATTTCGGGAAAATCGAAATGAAACTGCCCGACAAAATAGCCGCTCTTTGTACGCAAATTGTGTAAAAGTATGCAATACGAAGGTTGTGCACCCTCTAGAGGTCACAATTTTTATCCAATTCTGATGAAACTTAAAACACATCTTTATATCCCAAAGATCTCAGCCCCTTTTGATATTTGCGCATTTCAGACCATAACTTTCTGGATTATTGCCCCTGATTGTACAAAAAATCATTTTTGATTTTAGCTTGTTCTCTATCCATCTCTTGCAAAATGGGGGCGTATCCTGCCTGGCAGCCGCTGGTGTAATTTCGACCACAATTGGACGGTAAATCCAAAGTTGGGTTAAAGAGTGGTTAAAAACGCGCGCGTTAGATCACCAGGTCTTTCAAGGAATCAGGTGGGGTATGGTTCCGATTCCTGGGTTGTACGTGACAAGTTGTAGTCTCGCCTGTCCAACCTCGCGAAAATAATAAGAAATGTGGTATTAACAGTATATGTAAGAAATGGCATGGGGGATTTGCCGTTCTACTGCGTCGACTGGGATAATGAAGACGGCGTATGCGTAAGGGTTGCATACAGCCAAAGTAAGATATGTAAAGTGCCGCCCAAAATATATTTCATTTTGTTTGCTTATTCTGGCGCTGACATCACTGTGACGAATCCCACTCCAGATCTATCTGTCAACAGGTTTTTTTTCTATGTGAAATTTGAGGGTTAACAGTTGGGGAGTGTCCTCAATTTATGTGAAAAGTTCGTTCAACATCAAATAAGGCCAGTCATCGCTGAAGAGGACGGAGATTCTTATTTCCTGTTTACGAGCAACTATCGACGTCATCTAGCAACTATAAAAGTCATTTTATGCAGATGATGACCAATATGCATGTTGCTTGCACACACCGACTTCTCCACCCGTAATGTTCTAATAGACTGATTATGTGCCGATTACATATATATAACATTTTTTACCTATTCTAAATAATTTATTTTTTTATATATATTTAGAAATAGGGGTTTAACGTCCACTCGACACAAACTAGGTCATTTTGGGACAACATATGGTTCAATTTTATTTCAATAATTCGCTTGCGCGTAGAGGTCTTTAGCAATGGGAGGAAACCGTAGGACCCACGAGGTTGGACAGGCGACCCTTACTCCTTGTCACGTACAGCCGGGGAATCCACACCACGCCAGCTGACTCAATGACAGACAATACGATACAACGCGCACGTGCTAACCATTCGGCCACCCAACCCCCTATTTTTATATATAACATGTAATTGTCAGCGATATCATATCGGTAGGCCGCATTCCATGGGTTTAACGTCCACTCGACACAAACTAGGTCATTTTGGGACAACATATGGTTCAATTTTATTTCAATAATTCGCTTGCGCGTAGAGGTCTTTAGCAATGGGAGGAAACCGTAGGACCCACGAGGTTGGACAGGCGACCCTTACTCCTTGTCACGTACAGCCGGGGAATCCACACCACGCCAGCTGACTCAATGACAGACAATACGATACAACGCGCACGTGCTAACCATTCGGCCACCCAACCCCCTATTTTTATATATAACATGTAATTGTCAGCGATATCATATCGGTAGGCCGCATTCCATGGGCACAAATTGTCGTTGCAAAAATATTTTCGTTCCTACAAATCCGGTCTAGAAGAAATTTTGTCAGTGTATAGTTCATATAGAGATATTCGTTTGTTGTAATGTTCCCCAAAAAATTCCATAGTTCTTCGGTGATATTCTTCGTTGAAATCCGGACTATTTATTGATAGTAAAATTCATAGTGCGCGAGGTCACTGGACAGAATTCAGCGTTGTTCGCCGCGTCACGTGATCGTTTTTTCCACAATCGACCAATCACGTTATTGTCTACATTCGCGTGTGTTGTTGGTAAACACAAAATGGCGTGCTTCACGAGGAACACATTGCAGTTATACATGTAGAAGCTACACTAAATGGCGACAAAGGCTCAATTAACTTGTATTGTTCACTTAGACAGTGTTAATACGGGAAGTGCAGAACCCTTTACAAACACAAGGTGAGATAAATGTCGTGAGGTAGTTATAGACTGGTTTCAATTGGATGGAAATGACCAATCCATTGCAGCATTTTTCGATACAAATGGATATTTTATTACGAAGGATATTATATTGAAGATACAGTCGGCAGTGGTTTTGGATTTCATCCAACGTTTTATAGATGTTTTAAGAACAAAACAGTTAAATGATGCGAGAAAGAAAGAGAGTGACTCAGTGATAAGGCAGCGTCTACATTCAGTCCAACCGAAACTAAAGTGTCACGACATACATACAGACTATTAGTATTAGTATTACTGTGATGTGGTCATAATATATTTTACCAAACATTATTTAACAACTTACTATTATTATATTAATCATTCGACAAAAATAATAATTCACTCATAACATAATATTTTAAACACGGTTTCACCAAACCTTCAACAAGATATGACCACTTCTATTCCAACTAGTATAAGTAATAAATAAATGTAATAAATAAAGGTGCATCATATATAGGCTACAGACCATAAGTCAAGAAAAATTTGTGAATGAAAGAATTGAATATAACCATCCAAGTCAACCCAGAACATTGCATGCTGTGATTCAAAGGAAAGAGGGGATTAATCAAAGTTTTTGATAATACCTAATTAAGTCTTTCACACCCCACTGATAAAGTAACATGAGCTGAACATTAATGTCCAGTCGACACGGTTCCCTTTTATTTAAATAATTTGCTTGCATGTAAGGGTCTGTAGCAGAGGAAGGAAACTGGGGGACTCGGAGAAAACTCACAAGGTTGAACAAGTGACCCTAGTCCTTGTCACGTACAAGCAGAGAATTGAAATTAAGTCATTGACGCAATGACAGACCTTATGATTTCATGTGTACATGTTAAACCATTCGCCACCCACCCTCCATATTAAATAGATGTCTTTGTAAATTATGTATGTTATAGTTATACAGTGTATTAAGTATTAAATGTCTACAGTGTTTTTAAATTTATGTATTAAAGAAATGTATATGAAAATATTATCTATTAAGAAATATTGGTATTTATATTATGCAATATTTATATTAATAAATATCATTTGATACATAATATATCAAAATTCAAATGTTCTTTTTGGCCATTATGACCCTAATGTTTTGACCGTTATGTAGTTTTGACCAAAATGTTTGACCGTTATGACCAAATACCTGAGCCATTTTGGTTTAGGGCCTTTATGTCCATAACCCCTACTACTAGGACTAGTACTTCAACAAATTTAAAAACTAAAAGTGTGTCTCATTCACCCCTACTCCTTCATTAATATCACCAAAGGAATCACATCATGGTGCAGTACTTGTTACTACTTCATCAGAGTTAAAGAAGTCAGTTTTATCAGAGAGCTGTATAATTTGCAAGAAAAAATCCAAGTATGTTCGAGCAGGGGCCATACAAAAGAGGGACAATTTAGTCCAGTGCGAAATAAAAACAGCATTTTTATTATTTTATTTAAAGCACCAATAACACTAATGCTGTTTTGATAAGTCCAGTGAAACAAATACCGGTAGCCTTATTCTAACTACTAAATAAGTTAGTGTCTTACTCTTAGTGTAAATCCTCCATTAAATTGTATTTTATTTATCTTAGGTGATCAAAAATATTTTTCAAATCAAAGGTAATTAGTTTTGGATTTGATCGACTACATGTACAGTATCTGTTATAATTTTTAAAAAAAATCAGAATATTTATTAATCAGAAGCAAGATTCCAACATTGAAAGTGTGTTTGGCACTTTTATCGATGATTACATGTAGACTATGTCGTAGGTGAGCCCCATATTGATGGGGGGGGGGCACCTGGTTCATTCGCAATTGCAGACAAAACCCATTTTGAATTCATATATCTATTGTAAGCTTATACATTGTAGATGCAAAATTTTATTTTGTCCATATGGGCTTTTCCCTGACAATTCTGAGCTAGTTCAAATTATTTAAGCATTTCTTCTTAATATTTCTGCAACTTTTAAAGTTTTCAACCTTTATTTCAAAATATGTTTTTTCATTCTTAATCTTAGCTATACACTAGCCTATCCATGATCATTATCAAGACAGCAGGCTAGACAGGTTTTAATTATTTTGTTATGTAAAATGAATGATTTTATTAGAATTACACTTATAGAAGCAGTGACCTTGTTGCATTCTCTGTAATCTCCCTTGATATTAAGGCATTTTTCTAGTGAAATAGACCGGTCCAATATCCTTAATCAGTGTCGAAAAAACCTGACTGACTGCCACATTTTATGTCAGTGTGATCAAAATACCTTTTGTGGCTCTCATACACCACTTCTCTACACGAATGGGACGTTTTTGGGGTTCATTTGATCTCTGTTCGTCCCAACCGCAAGCGATTTGCAAGGTAAATCGTTCGCATGGCGTTGTTTACAAATGCTATGACCTGGCACTTGACCCCAGAATTTTTGACCGCAACCCCGCAAGCGAGACCGCTGATTGGCCAAATTTTAAATAGATGCGCAGGATCCAACTCACATCTACGCAAATATGGCTCCACACTATAAAGAAATAAGTCATCGATTTATAGCCTATTTCGAGCTTGAACTATTAAATTGGCAGATTTTATTGGAGAACTTTGTTGACATATTGATTGCACGATTATTGATAGTCCGATTTGTAGACCGGTTTAGCGGGAGCGAAGGTGACAAGATTTTCACCCCGAGAATACGGCCTACGGTGGAAGCAGACGTTATCTCTTACAGTTTTCGTATCGCAAGACATCCTCACTCACAAACTTCTTTCAAGTCCAACTGAGATACGGCGTATACAAAAACGATTGGAAACATCGAATGTACTGGGAAAAAAAAACTTAATATCCAATTCTTTAAGTTACGTACAGATGCAATGTGATTAAAAACACTAATTTAACTGCTATAGGAAAAGCGCTGAATATACCCATGTTGAATGCCGAAACTCATAACTGGGATTTGGTCTGAACCCCCCACCCCCACCCAGGGGTGTGTAGTTAAGGAGTTTAGAGCGATACGTTATGTCATATATAGGGTGACCCACCATAAATAAATATCTCCATATATCTCGACAATTACGCCACAATACTTATATATATGCCAAGCCTCAAATCAGTTCCACACAATTATAGTCACTAAATAAACGATCATGTTGTACTTAATAAGCTATGGCCATTAATCACGTATAAATAATAGACTGAAAACTGGTTCCAAGAGTCGTCCATAACATCCAGACACTTTTGAGTAAAAGATAGGTTACGTGCCCTTGTTTTGAAATTAGTCTCGCTTAACCAGTCTATCGACCATTCTACGTCTGATTGACAGGTCGGGATAATCAAGACTACTTTTTTACGAAACATAACAGAAAGCTAGAACAAGAAATTGAATTTAGAAATAAGCACGTTAGGTAGCTCAACAATCGTTTTAAGAAGCTTGTAAAAGTAAAATGAAACTACTGCTAGTATCATGTTCTTGCCTAACCTGAGTGTTTCAGAGATATTATTTGTACTAAACCAAAAGATGCCGCTCTTAACGGTACAGTTAATGATAAAGCGATTTAAAAAATGAAACGAACGTAATTTCTAAATCTGCTGTAATAACCAAGAAGCTTAATTTTACTGCTATTCAAAATCGTCAACAATAAATTTTTACGGCTGTAATAGTTGATAGATTTGTAGAGAATTGCACGTGCCATGGCTATTTATAGTATCATACTGTCAGAAAGTTGGTCTCGGCACGGCGAATGTGCACGCTTCAGTGGTAGTCTCGAACTATCAGCGGTGGACTGTATTTCTGTGAGTACATGGGCCACCCTATCATATACGAGGGAGTCGAAAGAAATTCCTCCTGAGAATATCAGTACTGGTGATCACAGGCAACACATATTACAGGTAAACAGATCAAATAAAATACAGGAACAACAGGACAATCTATATTCTACAGGTCCTCGCAGCAACAATCACACACCACATCACACACAATACAAGACAATCTACATTCTACTGGTCCTCGCAGCAACAATCACACACCACATCACACACAATACAAGACAATCTACTGGTCCCCAGATATCACACACTACAAATAATACAGGACAATCTAACCCACGGGTATTACGCTCTTTTCGATCCAGGGGCCACATGAACTAGAATTCTACTTCAAGTGGGTCAGAGGTATACAGAAATTCTATACACAAAGCCAAACGTCCTTGACACAGGTATTTTTTAGACTGGTTTCCAAATTGCCAAGATTTAATATTGAACACAACGTTCTCTTGTATGACATAGAGCGCAGAAGCCAGAGTTTTACCGAAAGCGTAAAACAATAAAAAATGATTTCCTCCACTAGTTTCTAAGAAGTATCGATACGTCACTTGTTGAAATTTGTTCCACGGGCCGGATTTAAACCCTTGGCGGGCCGCATGTTTGACACATCTGATCTAGATTCTACAAGTCCCCTTGTCGGTAATGTAGGACAGTGGGCCTGACAAGAATGGTACAAACAACGAGTTCCCATATCTATGTTCGCGTTGTTGGAAAAGAATCCTTGACAGTTGGAATTCGAAATAAGTGTAGGTAGACCGTAGCGCCACTCTCCGGGAAAAATTATCCCCATCCAAAGTACACACTACATGTCGTGTGTCCGTCTATATAAGCCCGGTTGGTACAGAAGAGTAACACATATGCGAATAGAAACGTGTTTATTTTTGGTTATTTACTTGAAATTTAATTACAAATTATTGAGATAAAAAAGAAATACATTCTGATCGAAACCAGCATGGGATTAATGTTGGCTATAATCTGTTGGCGTTCGATACAAGTTATTTATAACTGTTCACACAGTTTACATATTGACGCCATCTTGTATAAAAAAGATGGCGACCACTACTTATCCTAGGATTAATGTTGGCTATAATCTGTTGGCGTCCGACACAGCTTGAGATCAAACCACGCCTTAATGTCATGGTAAACCTTACGATACTTATTAACGTTCCATAATCGTTCACATAGATTACACATAGACGCCATCTTGTAATGATAATTCGTATACAAAAGATGGCGACCACTTCTCAGTTCGTATTTTTCGAATTCTGCTTTATATTGGTCTTTTCGCCTAAGCAGCGCTTCATATAAAGTGTCATTCTGGTTTAACTGATTCAGATATCTCGCCAGGTCTTTCGGTGATTTAAAATCAGCAGCATCGACATAAACACCCTTTGGTGCGATCTGGGAATATGTTTTCCCACCACGAACCACGGTTATCAGATCTTCGTTAAATTGACGGAAGAACTTCTCTGTGACGTAATCATCACAAATGGCGTTTTCAAAAGAGAGATAAAACTTGTAATCGTTGGTTATAATCTTTCGACATTTTGATTCAGAACTTCGTGGACATTTTTTTCCACACTGCCCCCAAATATCAACGGACAAATAGTTCCGTAGCACTTGAACATATTGTTCCCGCTTGCCAGAGGTTCGACAGTGTGACGTCATCCACGCTCCTACTTTCGTTTTTTTCTTTATAATGTCTGTATAGTTTTTATTAGTAGGTAATTTACGTTTTGTTATCAATCCATATGGGTAAACAATGTCTGAATCCAGTCGATAGGACATCGTCCAGTTTATTTCATGTTGCCAAGCAACCTTCCTGAAGCTCGGCCTTTTCCGCCATCCCTCGTGCGGCGACTCGTGGTTGTGAAGAACAAATACTTGATCTGAACGAAAACGTTTAGGTGGATCAAGTCGCATGGTTTGAGCTACGAATATTGCCGCATGACTCTGGTTGTAGTAAGCACGGTTTGTTGTTTCTACACATTTCCAGGGACAACTTTTCAGAGGGAAAAGTTCAGCTGAATACTGAATAAATCGTGGTTTCACATACCACAGAATAACTTTAGAGTCACGTGGTACTTTCATAAGCTTAGGTTTCTTTACGGGCGCTTTTTTGGCCTTTGTCTTGTTGCGCCCAGTTTTGGGAACATGCTTCTTTTTCAATGCTTGACCATTGACATCATTATGTTCACGACTTTTATTGATAGTAGGCCTAAGTACTTCATCAAAAGCCATTTTGGATTTGATGACGTAATTACCTGTTATTGATGTCAGCATTTGGTTACCCATGTCCGCAAATTTCGTGACGTGATAATGATGAGCTGTAAACGTCATCAAAGTGATACGTTCATACAGAGTTTCCTTGACAACCAGCAAACAGAAGACAAAACAAAAAGAATAGACAATAAATGTCGACTTGGATCCTTGTGATGACGAGGACATCATTGGGATAATAATGTCTTCAGAAACCCTGACAGCAATAGAACTGGACGATCAGAGAAAACAGATTAAAACATGGGTTTCTCGTTGTGAGTATGAAAGCTGTTGGTCTGTACAGTAGACCTAAAACTGTTTATACCCTGACGAAGACAGCAGTGACTCGACAACAAACATAAACAGTGCTAAATAAACATTAGAAAACTGATCAGCAGTGAATATTCGCTAAGCCGCTACAATCACTGATAGGGATGACACCGGTGCGGCTTAATGAGACCCAAATATTAACTATTTTCCTTCTGCAAATTAAACTCTATAACATTTTTTTGAAGTATTAGAAAAATAAATAAAGGCGTTTAAAGTATATATAGATGAAAATATTTCCTATTTAATGTAAATAATCCAGACTTTGTGTATTATCGAAACATGCATAACTTCGCTCATAATAAAGTAATTTGATTACCACTTTCAATATATATATATTTTTTTTGTCTATTTTAACTATAGGCCTACTAGCGAGAACTGGCCAGCTCTTTATCTAAATCTTTGATAATGTATCTTTAATATAACTATTATAGCAAGAACGTCCAACTCTTTATCTAAATCTTACATAATGTATCTTTAAACTATTATAAAAGAAGTGTCAGCTCTTTATCTAAATCTTACATAATGTGTCTTTAATATAACTATTATAGTAAGAACAATCAGCTCTTTATCTAAATATTACATAATGTATCTTTACTATAACAAGAACAACCAGATCTTTATCTAAATCTTACATAATGTATGTTTAACACTTGGACATAGAGACGATCATGACTCGTTTATATGGGTTGTAGAGGATACAGCCTATTTTCGAAATCTTCAACTCAACCAACCTGATTAAAATAAGATTTATATTTCGTTTCGTTTTTTAATTGTCGTCGCCCCAGTCCGTCCGTCCACAGTTTGTTTGTGGACAGTCTACAAGTCACAATTTTTATTCGATTTTGACGAAACTTAAAATAAAGGTCTATCTCCCAACGATCTCGGTTCCTTTCGATATTGGCATATATCGGACCATAACTTCATGGATTATGGCCCCTGGTTATACGAAAAATCACGTTTTTAGCTTGTGTTCACTCTAGAGGTAACAATTTTTATCTGATTTAAAAAACCGTTTGAATATGTCACTGTTACACCCTAATGATGGCTGAGTTTGAATGTCGTGGAAGTCGGACCAAAATTGCCGGACAAAACGGTCGCCCCTCGAACGCAAATAGTGTAAATATATAGTATATCAAGGTTGTGGACCCTCTAGAGGTCACAATTTTGATCCGATTTTGATGATCATAACTTCCTGAATTATGGCCCTTGATTGTACGAAAAATCGCGTTTTTACTTGTGGTCTCTCTGGAGGTCCCAATTTTTATTCAATTTCAAAAAACGTTTGAATATATCACCGTGACACCCTAATGATGGTTTTTGAGTTCGAATTTCGTGAAAATCGGACCAAATCTGCCGGACAAAATGGCCACCCCTCGTACGCAAATAGTGTATATATGGTATATCAAGGTTGTGGGCACTCTAGAAGGCACATTTTTTGATCCGATTTTGATGAAACTTGAACTATAACCCAAATATCTTGGTTCCTGTCGTATTCGCCAATATCGGATCGTAAATTCCCGAATTATGGTCCTTATTGCACGAAAAACCGCTTTTTGTTTTAGCTTGTTCTCTATCCATCTCTTGCAAAATGTGGGGGGTCAGGGGGGGGGGGTCTCCCCCCAGAAAATTTTTGAAATTTGACAACAGGAAACGCGTTTTGCAAGCACTTCTGGGAGAAATCTAGGTATTATATTTTCCAAATTTATGCTGCTATTTTGACTATAAGACATACTACTGTACTACACAAGACACTCATGACAGGTCTGCTTAATATAATGCTTATACAATGTATTTCTATCCAAATAATAAATTGCATCTTATACATATCGAGGCATGAATACATGTATGAATCTTTAGTCTCTATGAGACATGATACTAACACAAAAATGCAGGAAATGCAATTATGCTATCAGCACCACCTTAAGGTGACAGACATTTGCACGTCAGCATAATATATTTTACTAATCGTTGTGTATGTATGATTTTTCGCGTGCGCACTCTCAATTTTTTGAGGGGATTCCGCGTGAAAATTAGAGCTCTCGGGGGGGGGGGGGGGGGGCGCTTATACGGGTGGACTTATTGTTTGATGGGGGCGTGGGAGGACACCGTCCTCCTAAACTCCCTGCCAGCACGCCCCTGCTGCCTGGCATCCGCTGGTTTATACTTTCGATGGCCTACACTACATGAAGATCTGACCAGGTGTTTTGGGAGGTCGTGTCAGAAGTCATACGAGCGGCTTTTGGCCCTATGACGTCAGACATTTGATTAATCATTTAGCATTGATGTTTTTATAGTGGATTACCTAGAGTTCCGTGCACCTCAAGCCAAAAGTTCGCCGTAACAGACCGTTTCATTGGCTAATCTCTCACATCACCCAGAACACATCAATGATAACAACTCTTTGAACTATAATAAACGAAACGAAATAGGATCTGTGTTTTAATCAGATTGCAACTCAGCCATCGTGGAATGAAACAACCTTTACAACAATGTTGTAAGAGATTAATGATCTGTTTATTTGGAATTATACATTTTTTTAAATAATCGTGTAGTTTGCAAGAGATTTAAAATTTAATTGAAATTAATAATCCGTTTGTTGGAAAATGTTTGGCGGCTAATGAAGTCGGTCGTTTCTCTTATTACTATCCATTTAGATTTTTATTGACTTTAAACATGCAAGAGCTAAATCTGTCTATTGCAGGTCTTTCTTTATCTAAAATATTAATAAGACATCTATTAAAGGGGCATTATGAAAGATTAGATTAAGAGCTGGCCCTTCTCCCTATAATAGTTAAAAATATAGATATTGTAAAGGGAATATGCTGAAAATTTCAGTCAAATTGACCCACGCTGAACCGAGATATTAGGGATTGAATTTTAGACCTAAAGTCGGCACGATAAAAAAAGCAAAGTCTCGATTATCCAGTTTTTGTGTTTAATCATCAATGCGCGTTGAACATTTCAGGACCCCCCCCCCCAAAAAAAAACAACCTGCAATAGACAGATTTAGCTCTTGGATAATGCATGTTTAGCTTGTCAACTCTCGATGCCATCGGATGCTCTAGATTTTCAACAGATTTACATACGATTTGCAATTAATTAAATTGAAAGGGGGGCCACGGTGGTTAAGTGGGCAAGACGGTGGTTCACTAGACTGGAGGTCCATGGTTCGATCCCGTTGGTTCTCCCTTGTCAGTGGTGCAGGACAAAGACAACCGTCTAGTCACTCGGATGGGACAAACATCCGAGGTCCCGTGTACACATTGGCGTGCACGTAAATGATCAGTTGGAATTCAGAAATATAAGAGTAGGCCGTAACGCCACTGTCCGGGCAAGATGTCCCCCAAAGCACATTGTGTGACGTATGTCCCTCTTCATTAGGCCAGTCGGAGCAGAACAGTAGGACATTAAACCACATTTCATAATCATTTAAATTTGGATAATCGAGACTTTGTTGATTATCGTAACTGCGGTAGCAATGGCAATCGTGACTACACTGTTCAGCAATTAACGTTAACTCAGCTCAGAATGGAGAGAGAGAAATGGGGTATAACGTCCACTCGACACAAACTATGTCATTTCGGAACTAACACATAGTTCAATTTTATTTCAATAATTAACTTGCGCGTAGGGGTATTTAACAGTGGGAGGAAGCCGGAAGACCCGGAGAAAAACCACGGGGTTTGACAGGCGACCCTACTCCTTGTCACGTACAGCCGGGGAATCGAAACCACGCCAGTTGGCTCAATGACAGACCTTATGATACAGCGCGCACGTGCTAATCATTCGGTCATCCCTCCAATCCCCCGAATGAAGTTATTTGAAAATTAAAACTATTATAACAAGAACTGACAGCTCTTTATCTAAATCTTACATAATGTATCTTTAAGAAAGGATTTATAATATTTGTCTTGGTAAGATATTACGTTCCTGGACTACCGAGTGGAATGGCTGTAAAGTGGTGTGCTCTAATACTGTTTCTAGTTAGCTGTCGACTTTATTTGTCAAATAGTGAAACAATTTATATTCCAGCCGACTCTCCGTTTATAGAATTCAGGAATGTTGGAAGGCAGCAATCGGAAATGGTGTGGATAAAGGGGACAAGAGGTGCAGTTGTGGGACTCTTTGGGTCTACAAATACTTCTAGCTTGCTTTTTGAGGTGCTGATTGGCGTCTTTGACAACACAAAGATGTATGTGACAGCGGTGAAAAGTGGAGTCGTTGTAAACAAAATGGAATCGGGTCTTCGATTAAATCCTGATCAGTATACGCCATTTTGGATTGAATGGGCGGATACCAGTGTGTACATCAGATCGGGTACTGTCAATAACCAGGAACCACAGCTTCAATTGACACGTGACGGTGATACTTTATCAGTCGGATATATGGCGTTTAGATCTGGCCGATATAGCCCAGTTCAGTTTAGGTTGGGCCTGTCGTGCAGGAAAGGTGATATTACGTATTAGTACATAATAAACAAAAAGAAATAGTATTTCTTTTTGTTTATTATGTACTAATTAGGCATTGCCTTGAACACGGAAATAATAAATTTATATATTTTAGCCCAGATTTCGTGGATTGCCATTGGTGGAATGAGGATAAAAGTTATCTAAATTTCAGGAGCGACTCATTGGCAATAAATATGTAGTAGTTATTAGCACACTTTCCGAGGTGTATTGGTGAATATCAGGATAGTTTTGGTCGAGGGGCCCAGCCGAGGCGGCTCCCGACCAAAACTGTCCTGATATTCACCGATACACCGAGGAAAGGTGCTAATAAGTTACTTACATCACATTTCTATCGAGTATTGTGAAGCAAAATGTGAAAAATAGTATTTATTATCGAGTCGTTTCAACCGAAAAGTGACAAATACTTTCTGTTCTTTCATTATTTATCCCTTTCTGAGCCTCACGTTACATTTCATGGTAGAATGATTTCGCAGTGGAGAGACGACCTGAGTAGTATTTACACGTGCGTCTTGCTATGATACTCTGAGCGTAAAACAATCACGTGTTTGTTTAGACCACATCGTCAAAACAACTTGTCTATGGCGTAGAGGACTGCGATATTATTAAATGTAGTGTAAAGGAAATGCGAAACGTGGGTCATTCCTGGTGAAAGTATGCATCGGCGGATGGTTCTTCCGTTGAAATTTATTTGTAATAAAGTTTATGACTTTCTAGGCGGTTTTTTTTCATCCTGCTTATTTTCAATGCCTGTGAAGTGTCCAGCAAGAGAACTGTGCCTTCTATCATCACAATTAATTAAAATAATTATTCAATATTCTAATTTATATATTTTGCATATTAATATAAATCAAACCAAATTATGAAATAGATGCCAATTGATATGTATAATAATTGGTTTTTGTAATATGTTGTTATGTTAATTTAATGTCATTGTATATGTTTTTGAACTGCCATGTAGTTCCCCCCATTTTGTTTTGTTACTATGATTTTGACTAGTTGTTTCATGTACATTGGTTAGAGCCTCGTTATCAATTGCGATCTCGGTCGGACTAAACGTCCGCTACTTATTGCTTGATAGATATCTAAAACGGTATAAAAGTATCCGGTATAATAGTATCCGTGTATCAGAAATGAACAGTACTCTTTCTGTACATTTCTGATACACGGATACTTTTAAGCATGTATTGCAATTAAACAGGACAGTTTTATCAAAGGTTGCCAGTGGCAACGAGAAGAAGTGGGATGTAATTCATGGTTACAAGCATCTTTTAACAGTGGCAATACATTTTATTGCAGGAACTGTTCATTACTTGTGGACATTATTAATATGTTGTTTACAAAGAGTCGCTGATTAATATAAGATACCCAGTTGTCTAGTTGTCATGGTGATTATAAAGTATATCCAGTCATCTTTCGGATTAAAATTGTTTATCTTTATTTCGTTTCGTATACATTGTTTGAGCAGCATTGAGTTGCGGCTAAATCTATTTGTCATGGCCAGCTCAATTTTCGTCAAGGTCGCTGAGATGTAAATAAGGTTAGGGCACGTGATTGTTGGCGAGATTGTAGGTTAGGTTTAGGGTAAGCATAAGTGCTAGGGTCAGAGTTGGGGTTTGGGTTGGGATTAGCGGTAGTCCTGTTTACATCTCGTGACCTTTGAACAAACTTGAATTTGGCCTTATCAATTAGATTTAACCGTTGAGTTACTTGGAAACATAGCCAGATTTACCTGTAGGTTTAGCAAGGCTGAACCTTGGGACCTCCAGATCTAGGACTGGGCATGGGATGCTGGGCTCCAGCCAACGTGTACGATATTTTTGACGCTGTCTTAAGCCTATCGTACTTAAGCCCTCTAATCTGAAACATCCAACTTATTCGTCATCTTCAATAGAAGGCTTGGTCTCGCTTTAACCCCGTACATCTTATCAAGCCCTTCACGTAATACCTCCCATATTTCAGCACTATTTTCCATTGGGTACTGACCCAGCTTGAGAGCCTATCAGATTCCTCATACATTTCCAACTAAAATGTCTACATGTGATAATCGAATTGCAAAGTTCAAGGTTTGTTCAATACAGACCACTTATATGATTTAGTGACAAAAGTTGTCATTACTAAAAGGCCTAGGTTCATAAGTCAGAAGTATCAGTTTAACAGTGTATTGAATCAGGTAAAACATTAAATACGGAATATAAACCAAAAGGAAACCATGTAAATTGAAAAATATGTTATTTAATCAGATTGGGGACAAGATGTATCGTATCCCCTAAATGATAATCTGTTGTACGATGATGTATTTTCTGTTGTAAATGTAAAACCGTTGCCATTACGCCTGCAAGGTCATTGACACAAGTTTAAGCGGCCGGGCGACACTGTTTCACGTGTGAATTACCAGCATTTAGTTAGTACATGTATGTGGTGATATTGGGTAATATTTAGTTAGTATGTGGTGGTATTGGGTAGTATTTAGCTAGTATGTGGTGGTATTTGGTAGTATTTAGTTAGTATGTGGTGGTATTGGGTAGTATTTGGGTGGTATTGGGTAGTATTTAGTTAGTATGTGGTATTGGGTAGTATTTGGGTAGTATTTGGTGGTATTTAGTTGGTATTTGATGGTATTGGGTAGTATTTGGGTAGTATTTAGTATTGGGTACTATTTAGTGGTATTGCCCAAGCTATTGTATGCTCAGAATTCACAAGACTGCGCGAATTACTGTTGATTATTCAGAAAATGTCTGAGGAAATCAAATTTCTATTTATTTATGATTGATTTTCCTGGTCCTAATCTTTTATTTTATTCACATAACATCATATAACAGAATGTAAATCTGATTATAAGATTAAAATATTGGATTAGAACCCTAGGACAATATCGCGTCTATGAATAAATGGACACATTTCACTTAACGTAATGTATATATCAGTTTGCATTCTATAATCATTTCCTTTTAGACTGAATTTAATAAGGTTTATTTGAATTTATCCGGAGTCGTAAAACTAAACGTTTATCAGAAATAAAATGAAATGAGGTTTAACGTCCTACTGTTCTGCTCCTAAACTGGGCTAATGAAGACGGGCATACGCCATACAGTGTGCTATGAGGGAAATTTTGCCCGGGCAGCGGCGCAACGGCCTACTCTTATATCGAGTTTCAACTGGCAAGAGATCTTTTACGTGCACTTCAATGTGTACACGGGACCTCGGTTTTTCGTCCCATCCGAACCACTAGACAGCTGTCCTTGTCAGGCCCTCCGTCCTGCATCACTGACAAGGGGAAACCACGCCGGAAAATCGGATGAACTTTCTCGGCCAATGCAGGGATCGAACATCCAACCTCCAGGCTAGCGAGCCAGCGTCTTACCCACTTAGCCACGTGATTCCCTTAAACGTTTATCACATGAGAGTATCGTGTGAATCTGGAACGGACATGAAGTGTCATAGCCGCCATCTTCGTATATCAAATCGAAGTCCGGCAAACCTCAGCAGATTCCAGTACCCTATATCTAGCCTCGGCTGTATGACGAAGTCCGCCATTGGAACTACTTTCAAGTTCCCGGATACCAACGGCGTTGCCCATACCAAGCATACCAAGTTTCCACTATGGAGAGTGTAAATATGGTCCAGACATCCACGGTTCTCTCTGAAACCACATTGTTCATCAGCTAATAGATCGAGATTTTCTATATACAGCTGATGTCCTGTGGCTAAACAGATCTAGAGATAAACGAAAGAAATTCAGCACCCAGACCGTAATTGAATTCCAACCGTCGGGGTTTTTTTACGTGCACGCTCACGTGTACATAGAATCTCGTTTTCTCCCATTCATCGACTAGACGTTGTCCCTTGGCACCCCCCCTCCTCCCCCTACTCCCCCTCCTCCCCCCACCCAATCCAAAACCATCTTGCAACCATGGGAAACCACGCAGGTAAATCTAAGGGAACTCTCTCGTCCAAGACCGCGACCCAACTCTTGGTTAGTGAGATAGAGTCTTACTCACTGAGTCACCGTGACTCCAGTTGAATGATGTGTTCTAATAAGCGTAAGGGTGGCATCTTCCAAACATACCATATCGTCAGGCTAAAGTCAATATTGCTTAATTAACTTTTGAAAAGAAATACGACATACAAGATTAATCGGGGCGTTGGAAAGCTGAATTGTTAGCATGTGCGCTGTATCATAAAGTCTGTCATTGAGTCAACTGCGTGGTTTCGATTTCCCGGTTGTACGTGACAAGGAGTGGGGTCGCCTGTCCAACCTCATGGGTTTTCTCCGGGTCCTCCGGTTTCCTCCCACTGATAAAGACCCCTACGCGCAAGCGAATTGTGGAAATAAAATTGAACCTTGTTAGCCCCGAAATGACCTAGTTTGTGTTGAGTGGACGTTAAACCCCATTCTCTCTCTCTGTTTTTACAAGATTAACCAGCCTCATTGGTTATAATTGTAAGCCCCGGTGACTGCCTGGCGAGAAATGATAATTATAAGGGTTCATCGAAAAGAATGCAATTGAGATCTAAAATTGAGATTGTGTGGGTGCGCCCTCAGGCGGATAGACGTAATTCTGTTTTACCCGAGTTGCCGCTATAGTTTCATGTAAGCTGAAAACCAGTTTACGACTTGAAATTATCAATTACTTATTTACTACCAACCCTATGAAGGGGGATTGTGGGCAGTCTCGTGGTTTAACATAAGGTCTGTCAAGTGATGTGTGTAGGGTCGCCTGTCCACCCTTGTGGGTTTCTCTGGGCGCTTCAGTTTCATCCCACTGCTACAGACCCCTACACACAAGCGAATTATTGAAATAAAATTGAACCACAGGTAACTCCCAAAATGTGTCGAGTGGACATTACTCTCTCTCTCTCTTTCTCTCTCTCTCTCTCTCTCTCGTTAAAATCAATAAACATACTGGAACTATTTAGATAACCAAGCTAGGTTATTGACGTATATTCTGTACATGTTTTAAATTAGAGATATCTGTATCTGTATATATTAATGACAAACGGGAATCAAGCGATATCTCGAGTTCTATTGCTTGTAACACGATAATCCTGGGAGAAGGGGAATAACTATTAATGATCAATTGGAATCTATCGATCACTGGAGGTCTATTGCTCACGATGATCTTGAGTTGAGAGAAGGGGAATAACCACTGATAATAATGATATTAATTCTAGGGGTCGCTACATACATGTAAACATGATCAACATATTGAAGACTGCCAGGAAGGAGACGACTGTATCTTTTGTCAGTATTGTTAAATTGCCATTCTGTCAGATGACGATATTGACGTAATTCCACCGGCGACATCAAAGGAAGGAGAACTCAGGTAAATAAGAATACGTTGTCAGTTTTATAAACAAGGTAATTATAATATAATATCAGTCCTAAACGTCGGTCATTGGTAAATGAATGAAATGGGGTTTAACGTCCTACTATTCAGCTCCATCCGGGCTAATCAAGGGGGGCATACAGTGTGCCATGAGGGACATTTTGCCTGGACAGCGCCACGACGGCCTGCTCTTATATCGAACTCCAACTGTCATGGGTTCTTTTGCGTGTACACCAACGTATACATGGGATCTCAGTTTTTCGTCCCTTCCAAACGACTAGACAGCTTTCCTTGTCAGGCTCTCCGTCCTAAAATACTGACAAGGGGACCCACGCGGAAAAATCCTAGGAACACGATATTCACCGAGTCACAGCGTTTGCCTCGCTCACTAGTAAACTAATGGAGGGAGTTAAATATTCGATGATAAAACAAAAGCAATGGAATAGCATTTAACGCAAGACGTTATTTTAGCGAGACAGCGAGAGAGAGAGAAAGAGAGAGAGAGAGAGTTTAACGGCCACTCGACAAAAACTAGGTCATTTCGGGACTAACATATGGTTAAATTTTGTTTGATTAAATAGCGTGCGCGTAGGGGTCATTAGCAGTGGGAGGAAACCGGAGGACGTGGAGAAAACCCACGAGGTTGGACAGGCGACCCTACTTCTTGTCACGTACAACCGGGGAATCGAAACCAATGATAGACCCTATGATACAACGCGCACGCGCTAACCATTCGGCCATTCCGGATCATTTTGAGACTAACATGTAGTGATGTTTATAGATACATTGAGAGAAGAATTATTTTGTCTGCGCAGTGGGCGTTTTCATCTGTCAAGACATCCTATGCTTTCAAGGGGTACACGTGACATCGAGTCCATTGACTCAACACAACCCTGTATACACGTTAATTCTGAAAATGTCGAAAGGGACTTTCTTGGCTCGCGTTTGGATTCGAGTCTAGGATCTTATAGATATGACACCCCTTCTTGCGTTCGTTCCTGGAGTTTTGCGTCCACCTCCACCAAGGGTGATATCGCAGACAACTAAGAAACTTGCCAGAAGAAGCCACAGAAATAGGCTGTCGTGTGAATAACATCCAAAGCAGAAGCTCCGGGTGTTAGGACTTTTTTAGTGACCCTAAAACAGAATTAAAGTCTAGCATATTGGAATTTATATAGAATCTCGAAAGATTTTTACAACTGAAAGGGGTATATATTAATATTGTTTAAACATATACGTGTACTAAACAAAAAATCAAAGTCATAAATAAAAAAAAGTCAATTCGTTTGATTTTATCATGGCACGGTAAGGGGTGTTCCCAAAGAAAGAAGTGGAGTTGGATATCCGAATGGATAGCGCGTGCGCGTTGTATCATAAGGTCTGTCATTGAGTCAAAAGGCGTGGTTTCGATTCCCCGATTGTACGTGACAAGGAGTAGGGTCGGCTGTCCATCCTCGTGGGTTTTCTCCAGATTCCCCCTGGTTTTCTCCCACTGCTAAAGTCTACTCGCAAGTTTGTATCGAGTAGACGTTAAACACCATCTCCCCCCCCCCTCTCTCTCTCTCATTTATTGTAGAAATACTTTTAGGTAGTCGAAGGGCCCGCCTGTCACAAGATCGTGAAATCTTTTAGGTCAGAAATGCAGTGAGTGCGTCATAAACCAAATATAACCACTGACGATAAATTGCCGGACTAGATCAATTTATATACCACGCTCAGAATTTATTAATTTATACTGCACGCTTGTTTACAAACACAGACGAGGAGGCGTTTCTCGATTCCAATAACATTTCTCGCAAACACTTCATCAAAAATTGATCTGAACAATAATTGCCTACACTCTAAACAATTCAATAATGGGATGCAGACTGCTGGTGTTTGAGATAATTCAACATAAAAAAGATAAAATCAGTTGTTAGGATGGCCATGTATGTGAGTGCTAAATCTATTTGTTAAGGCCAGCTCAATTTCTATCAAGGTCGCTGAGATGTTAATACGTCTAGGGCACGTGATTGTTGGCATAATTGTTGTAGGTTAGGGTTAGGGTAAGCATTGGGGCTAGGTCCAGGGTTAGAGTTGGGAGTAGCACTAGCCCTGTTTACATCTCGTGACCTATGAAGAAAATATTAAGCTGGCCTTATCATTTAGAATGAACCTGTATGTGAATCACTGTTACATGAATACATCGTGTTGATGTTGATGATAGCGGCTATATAATAGAACTCTTGTTGGACCTCTCTATTGATTTTTATACCATGATATTATCAAGGTTCACTGGGCCCGATCTGACATTAAATGGCTGCCGTACGGCAAATACCGATTTTTAATTAAAATAACGAATAACATAAATACAAGGTTGCCATGCAACGAATAAAATCAACCAGCTTTGTGGAGGGTGTAAGGACAGCACCCACGAGAGAAGAAACGGACCCCACCTCAAAAATAGCGTTTCGGTGAAGCTGGCAATAGCACCGCTTAAACCGTATTTTGATAGGATCACACATTCCATGCAAGTTTGGAACAAAAAAATCTATGACCTGTATTTTAAAATATTTGGTGACTACTCGATTCTGAATATCGATTGGGTTCTTCCCCGTGGCAACTTTGGAAATCTTTACAGGGATTAACAGGGTTTCAATGAAAAGGGGCAATAAATGGTTATTGATGAATTTTTAGTGGGGAATTGAAATGGTTTAACGTCTTACTTTTCTTCACCAACCGAGCTAATATCATACAGTATGCTATAATGAGGAACATTTAGCATGCAACTGCCAAGGGATCTTTTACGTGAACGCTAATGTCTACACGGGACCTCGGTTTTCCGCCCCATCCGAACGACCAGACAGCTGTTCTTGTCAGACCCTCCGTCCTGAATCACTGACAAGGGGAAACCACTCCGGAAAATCCCGATGAATTTTCTCGGCCAACACCAGGAGAGAACCCGCGACCCCCAGGCTAGCGAGCCAGCGTGGCTCCTATATTTCCTATTCCCTTCTTCATTGGCACATACGAAGCAGAACAGTTGGACTTTAAACCCCATTTCACTAAATTTGAGGTTAATACATTTAAAAGTATGTATATTTTTAGTTTATGCACCAGGAAAACATTATGAATGGTAGTTAGAAAAAAATAATCATAATCATGGAGAACGGTAGGCAGGAAGAACAACCTTACACCATACCTAACAACATACGACATAATTCAGATATCGGTAAGTAACAAATAGTCATTGATGTGAACAATCCAAACTGTTCTCCAGCGATGCGAGGTTCGAAAGCGATGGATTCTAATCGAGAAAGCAGTGCTCTGGTTCCTGTAGCTTCATAACTTACACGTTGAGCAAGAATACTAAATGGCGAAATCTATTTGTTAAGGCCAACTCAATTTTTGTCAAGGTCGCTGAGATGTAAATAAGGTTAGGACACGCGATTGTTGGCAAGATTGTGAGTCAGGGTTAGGGTAAGCATTGGGGCTAGGTCCATGGTTAGGGTTAGGATTGGGATTAGCGCTAGTCCTGTTTACATCTCGTGACCTATGACGAAGAATTGAGCTGGCCTTATCATTTAGCACTAACCGGTCACCAATGAACACCCTGTCTTTTGCGAGTACGCGCGCAGAAACGCCGTGTCAGGGATAAAATCTTCGACGCCCATGCAGTGCACTGGTAATCATTGCAATGTAATTCACCATAATTATATTAGCCTAATAAAGGCTATAGTGTTAACGAGAAGCTTTAAACACCATGCCAAAGTGAAAATAGAATATTGATATTTTGAAAACCTTGAAGCACACTCTAATTACTACTTTCGTTTCTTTTTACCGTTTGACATTTATCTGTTGTTTTTTTTTTCTTCAGTTGAAATAGAAGTGAAGAGACTCCGTGTTGTTCGATTTTTCAGAAATGTCTCATTTAATCACGTGCCGCTGGGAATACTAACCATAGCGGTTTCCATAGTAACCATCTTTCTCGTTACTAGGGCGCCACGTTTGAACTTTGCAACCGTTACTCCAATACTTGTCGGATTTCTGGTAAGTTGGGTATTTTCGTAAATATTATTAAAGGGATAGTTTTCACGTTCCAATCATTCAAGCGTTTTAAGGGATGGCCGACGTTGGCGGCTTGTTCCGAAGGGCCCTCTCCTAGAAATGTTTTAAAATTATATACAAACTGGAAATCTGCCGAAAAACAAATGAAATGAAGATGTGTGTGAGGGAAACTCGAGATGACGTGTACAATATACTGGTGTTGGTCGAGGAAGTTTGCCCTATGATCAAGGGCGTGGATTTGTCATAACTTTTGTGGGGGGGGGGGGGGCGGACGAACCCTGGAACCTATCATTACCAAACCAAAATAATAATTACGAACAGTTTACTGTACCAGTGTTATTTCGATGAAAGCTGTAACTAGGGGTAATATGATGAGACGATATAGTAAAATTGACTACATACAATTAAGGAGGAAGATATCGTGAAGATGAATTACTGTGGCAAGACCCAAGGCAGTGGTTAGATAGCCTTCAGAACGGGACATTCATGTGGATATAAACCTGAAAATCAGTCCTGGCGATCAAAATCATGGGGGGACAGAGACCTATCCGCCCCCCCCTTCCGATTCTAAGGGGGGACCCGTCCCCCCCCCCTAATTCCACGCCCATGCCTATGATGCATGTTGGATAGGACAAAGTTAGGGGGGCCTTAAGCGTGAATCGGGGGTCCTGTCTCAGGGAGTCCATATCTAGTTTTCTACCAGAATTCGGCGTTTTATACCAGTTTTCTTTTTGAACATTTTCAAAAAACTTCGAGGAGGAGGCCGCCGCCTCTGGCACCTCCGCTTTGGCCTATATCTGCTTCTACATATGGGTCGATAAAGGCGATATAATTGCTGTAGAAAGTCTTTATTCATTTCTGCCATCTAATAAATAATTTCTTCTTTAGTAATTGATATACGTAATACACACAAAATATAATATGGAACACCCACACACAATTACTAAGGTGTTATCAAACTTGACAACGTTGATAGGAATCTCAACGAAATGTCGCTTTAATTAAAATAGTACTTGTCTTCCATATTATGTTATTGTGTTTATTACGTGTGTCACGTTGATAGAAATCGCAACATAAAAAAATGAAATGAAATGAAATGAAATGGGGTTTGAATTCCTACTGCACTGCTTTGGCTGGTCTAATAAAAAAGCGAACACACGCCATACAGTGTGTTATGAAGGAAATTTTATCCGGACAGCGGCGCTATGGCCAACTCTTATAAATATTGAATTCTAACTGAGAGTGATCTTTTACGTGCACTCCAATATGTACACGGGACCTCATTTTTTCATACCATCAACACGACCAGACAGCTGTCCTTGTCATGCCCCTCCGTCCTGCACCACTGACAAGGGGAAATGTAACGTCGCTTGAATTATAATAGTCAGACGTGTTGGATATTATGTTAAAACTGTACATAGGGTACATTATGTTCTTATGTTTAACTGTATATTATATTGTTTATATAGGGTATATTATGTTATTGTATTTAACTGTATATATTGTTTATACAGGGTATATTATATTGTTTATATAGGATATATTATGTTATTGTATTTAACTGTATATAGGGTATAGTGAGTGGGGTAGCAGGGTTTCATGTCAGTAAAGCCGCTCTGTATTCAGAAAGAATCGAGAAGAGTGTCAGCATACAGGTGAGTATATATATATATACACGGTCATATCACGTGGTTGCTGTGGTGTATGACAATACACAGGTGTGTAACACAATACACAGACGTGTAAAACAATACACAGACGTGTAACACGCGGCACTAACATATCGGACAGTTTTATTCAAATAGTTAACTAAGCCCAGTGGTCCTTTACGAGTTGAAGATAACTGAAATTCTCGGAGAAAACCCAGTAGGTAGAAGAATGTGTGGTATATCAATGTTATGTCGTTGCTTCAGGAACATAAATAGTTGTAGGCCCCATCAAATATGAGGGGTTTATTGTACAAAGACTGTCATCCTACCATTACCGACGTAACCATGGATATAAGAATTGCCAAAATGCAGTGGCGGACTGCCCAATGGCAAATGGGCCCCCCTAAGGAAAATTCGAATTACATCTTTTTGTTTCCACTTACATATTTTTTGAAAATTTAATTTTCATTTTAAAAATTAAATGATAGAATTGTATTGGTGGGTGGATCCCCTTTATCTCCTAGCAACCAATATTTTCAGACCCAGTCCGCCACTGCCGAAATGACGGAAGTAATATTACTTGTAGTTGGTAAAATAGCTCAGTTTAAAGATACATTATTCAAGAGCTACATCTGTCTAATGTAGATCTTTTGTTTGGCCTCAAATCTTATATAAATCATTAATTAGACATTTATTTACGTCATGCCAGGCCCATAAACAGCCCTCTAGAACTTCGGATGGTTTTGTTTTTCAACAGATTTAAATACGATTGGCAGTTAATGATTTAATTTAAAAATGGATAATCAAGACTTTGTTTATTATCCTAACAACGGTAGCAATGGCAATCAAGACTACACACTTCTGCGAACGACGATAACTCGACTCAGAATGAAGTAATTTGACTGAAATTTTCAACATTTTCCCTTGTCATTATCTATGTTAGAACTATTATAGCGAGAACTGTCAGCTCTTTATCTAAATCTTACATAATACAGCTTTAATTTATTTTCTTTTCGTTTCAGATTATTATTTATATAATAGTTGGAACCTGCATTCTTCTGCTCGTGCCGCTGTATACGGGATTTAGCACGGGAATTTGTGATCCGTTTACGTCAATTCTGTGCCCGTCAGCTACACCAAGGGACATTACTCTAGGGGCTCTGAACATTGCCACGTGCTTGCTGTTATTCTTGTCTATAAGTGTTAATTTCTGTTTAATTCTGTGTTGCCAAAAGTCGATCGGTGTCGGATTTCTCAGTCGATACGACAACCTATATGAACGTATCTCCATGTCGGATCGTAAGGAGCCCTCCTTCCAGCTCGCGCTGAGAGATGACTGTTATCTGAGACTTCAAAATGGCGGTGATGAGTTTCCTGATTTGAATGATGATTGTGATAAACGTAATGCCCTTCAGTCTGTGGAGAATGGTTATTACACGTGGGATTCTCCACCATCTATAGAAACTTAGAACCACTCAAATTATCCGAAGCGAAACATCCGATTAAATACTTCTCACGATTGCTATTGTGGCTAGTAATGGCTTCTACATTTGGCCATATGAAACACTTCATGAATTTTAACACTACAGTCAAATACAGGTACAATCAAATAAACGTGCGATTCATTCATTAGCCCCGAAGATTTGATTTTATATTGTATTACACTACGACTGGAAACCGTTGCTAAGGTCGGCTTATTGTTAATACACTTGGTCATCTTGATAAGTTGGCAGAGGTGGAAAAAAGTCAAAACAGTCGGGTCCCAAGTCGTCGCACCTCGACCTCGAGTTCGGACCGAGTCCCAAGTCGCCGGACATCGACCTCGAGCCGAGTCACAAGTCGCCGCACATCGACCTCGAGCCGAGTCCCAACTCGCTGCACCTCTAGTTCGGGCCGAGTCCCAAGTCGCTGACTTTAGTACCGAATCGAGTCGAATCCCAAGTCTTCACAAAGCCAAAGTTCAGTTCAAGCCGCCAGTTATCCAATGAGTCAGCAATTGATAGCAAATAAAGAAAATTTGAGTTATGTCCCCTGACCGCGACAAGTCGTGAGTTGTCACGAACACCGAGTCTGAATCCAGTCCAAGTTGAGTCGCAAGTCGGACTCGAGTTCCAACCTTTGCAAATTTGAACCAGCACCAAGTTTCTTGTTGGCTGTTGAGCCTGGATGTTGGCCAATGAATGCGCTCAATACAACGAGTGTGCTAAATGTCAAGAATTAATAACACGGTTGTTTTTATTGATATTAAAGTAGATGTAATAAAGCCAATTTTTCGATACAAGAAATAAAATTGATATTGGGTTGAGATAAAAAAAAAAACTAATTGATATTAAAGAGGCCCGGATAAAATTCAATTTCCCAATAGGAGGATAAAATTGTCATATTAACTGGGTCTAAAATATCATGAAATATATAGAAGTAGGTGGGTGTGGCAATTGTAATTCTTGTCTTGAGACGATGGCGGTAATCAGCATTAAATTAATCTGTAATCAGGCCCGTAAGCTAGCGTAGGGGTTGGTGGGGGGGGGGGGGGTCAAGAGTGACTCATAGGGGGAACCGATTCTGTCCACAATGGGCAAAGGCACCATTGGGTGCGCCGTTTTTTTTTCAGGGGAGGCAAGTGTCCCTCTTGCCCCCCCCCCCCCCCGCCCCCTTAATAGCTACGCGCCTGATAATACCATATACTGTTAAACTTCACTATCATTTATTTTTATTATTTTATATTGATGTATTGCGTATTTATTTAAAGGATCTTTACGATCTGTCGTAGGCCTGCTATTGATGTATTTTGTAGTTTATTTAATGAATGTTTACGATTTAAAGTAGACCTCAACATAATGCTCAACATAATATTTAAAATGTTAGAATTCTATTTATTGTGGTCTGACCCCTGTCATTTTTTTGTAACTGAGTTTTCAAGGTCTTGAAAATAAACAGGGCTGTCGGGATTAGTTGGGTTTTTTTATATCTGGGTGATATTCATTCTACTGTGCGAATAGATCTCTGTCCTGAATGGTCGCCATATTGAAAATTTATTATACCATTTCTTTATGCAGGTCTAATCCGTTTTAAATTCTTTGCAAGGCTAAATAATCATTATAAACATCAAGTTGTCCACAACATTTCTATTTTAATTTTTTTAGGTATTATAAATGTTATTTATTAACAGAAATAAAGAATTCAATTGACACGTGTTTTATGATGAAACAGTTCAGACATACCGACTGACAGATTGTGTCTAATAAATCAATCATGAACTTCCACTGTATCTTCAAGGAAACGTTTTTTTGGGCGTTCTTTATGTTAGACATTTAATTAACCAATCAGCGTTGGTGTTTCTAGTAGGAAACCCACGGTTCCATGCATTGCACACTAAGAGCTCGCTGTAACAGACCGTCTCATTGGCTAATCCCTCACATCAACCAGAACACGGGTTATACAACAACTCTTCCAGATCCTAGTGTAGTAAAGACAAGTAAAACAAAATTTTGAACTATAAAAACGAAACGAAATAGAATCTGTGTTTTAATCAGATTGAATCAAAGTTTAAAGATAATAACTGAATACTTTGAATAATGAATCAGGTTTTATTGATGGTGTAATATTTAGAATAATGGATCAGATTTTATTAATGGTATATGAATATTCTGTATAATTTAATCTCTCTTGATATCAGAATCAACCCTATAGAGCGCTGTAACGTGATGACTACATACAGTCGATGTGTAAAGCTCTAGTCAATCTTGGTTCACTTAGAGACAGGAACTAACTGGGGGCGCCACTGACATGGGGGGTTCAGGGTCTATGGGGCCCATGAATATGAAAGTTCAAAACTGAAAAGGGCAATTGTGCATGATTTTTTTATTGTTCCTTTGAAGCTCATATAAGTATATACAAAAACTGACTGCTGGGTGTCAAACCTCCGAAGACTGCAAATCATCCAATATATACTATAGCAAGAAATAAGTCCAATATCTAAAACGACTTAAAACAGGTCCCCAATTTCCGTGAGAATACTCTTTTGTGATCCCGTCAACATACTCACGGACTCCCGTTCTGTCCATTCCTGCTTGGAGATAGCTGTCGTGTGTAAATCTTCACTGATACCAAACTTTATATGTCCTATAAATACATGACTACATGCTCACTTGCAATTGTATTCATTCAGGTATTTGGCCCATTTATTAAGTGTAAGTAGATGGAAAATGATCCGAAAAGCCCCGTTTACCCCGCGCTGTATAATCGCGACTTTTGAGCAATGGCGTTCATAGCTTGGGACACCATGTCTCTTATTAACTAAGGCCCCGTTTCACAAAGTAGCGTACATGAAAATCGAACATTTTACTAAACAACGTTGTTCATTCTTCGTGTACTTGTACGTAACTCTACGCAGGCCTACTACCCTTCGTGAAACGGGTCCTTAAGGGGGTAGATCTATTTGATAAGGCTATAAGTTTGGTCAAAGGTCACGAGATGTAAACAGGGCTAGCGCAATTCCCAACCCTAACCCTAATCCTAGCCCCAATGCTTACCCTAAGCTACAATCTCGCCAGCAATCACGTGCCCTAATCTTATTTACATCTCAACGACCTTGCTGAAAATTGAGCTGGCCTTAACAAATAGATCTAGCCGACCCTAGGGGCTAATTAGCTTTAGAGCATCTTGCATCCACCAAACAATCGTTATGGTCCAATTGATGTCGTAAATAAAACCGATTTCGTCAACCATCGAAATATCTATTCATCTATCTATAATTTAATTTATACTTCCATTTTGATAATATCCTTCACCACAGTTCTCATCCTTTAACGATATTCTCTCACGTGACTTGGATGACTTCATAATATTCATATGGATCATCTGATTCTCTAGCTGCTTTTGATTAGCTAGGAGTTGACTCGTTGCTATGGCAAGTCCAAGGTCATGACGATAGTGAAGCTTGATGACGAAACATATGATGCTGTAGATGCATACACAAAGAATGATGACGAAATCGATAACTGCTAACACGTGACCCTGCGTGACGTCTTCATCTTTGGTGCATTTATGAGTAAGAGCTATTTCGGAGATACAAAGGCCCGAGGCATTCCATAGGGTCGTCCATAGACACAGGGCAATGGTGAGAACTTCCATTATAAAATGAAACCACAGCTGTAAAAAATCAAATATGATTAAAAAAAACCCATTAACTATGGATTATGTAGGAGGTAAATCTGCATATTTCAGGTCTTTTTTGTTTCAAATGTTATATCAATTATTCAAATGACAAGCCTATAATCTAGGCTATCGGATGGCTGAGATTTAAATGGATTAGAACACCCGCGAGATTTTAAAATTTAACGATAATATGGATAATCGAGACTTAGTCGCGTTTGTACAATACGATAATAAGCAATCGACGCTACAATTTTCCAAACTCATAACTACGCTCAGAATAAAGTCGTTTGAATGAAATATTGTGGCATAGATTGTTTATTGTCGTAGCAACGATACTTATTAATCTCAGTCTCGATTCACCATTTTTAAATTAAATCATTAAGTGGCAATCGTGTTTCAATCTGTTGAACTCTCTGCCCGCCACCCGGTGATGTAGAGAGTTGATTATAGGCTTGTCACGTGAATAAATGTCTAAAAAATATATAAGGGCATCTATTTCAGGGGTGCAGACAGGGCCATCTATTATCAGCGGTGGGATAGACAGGGATGCAATAGAGAGGGGTGCAATTGAGGGGGTCATCTATTTCAGGGGTGGGATGGACAGGGGTGCAATGAACAGGGGCGTCTATTTCAGGGGTGCAATAGAGAGAAGAGCAATGGACAGGGGCATCTATTTCAGGGGTGCGGCGGGGTATCCAATCAAAGAGTGAAATTAAATTCAGTTTTTATTAAATTTTCGCTGCTAACTTTGTTGAACAATCTGTCCTATTTATTTTATCTGTTTTGACTTATATTTAAAATGTCTTCATTTATCACAATTCTGGGTACAAGGTCCGATATTTACGTCTTGGTGGCAAACCGTAAGCTACAAGGCCCTATTCTTGAGTTTTGGTAGCACTTAACCCTATACTTGAATCTTGGTGGTATACAGTCAGCTACTAGACTCTATACTTGGTGGTATACAGTCAGCTACTAGACTCTATACTTGGTGGTATACAGTCAGCTACTAGACTCTATACTTGGTGGTATACAGTCAGCTATTAGACTCTATATTTGGTAATATACAGTCAGCTACTAGACTCTCTTCTTGAGTCTTGGTGGCAAACAGGAAGCTACTAAACCCTATACTTGAGTCTTGGTGGCAAACAGGAAGCTACAAAATCCTATAGTCTTGGTGGCAAACAGGAAGCTACTAGTCTCTATACTTGAGTCTTGGGGGCAAACAAACAATGAAGTTGTTGATCAGGGGTATCACCAAACCTCTGCACACCACTGCTGCAACCCTTCTACTTCCGAAATCCAAGCTCCGCGCCTCCTATTTTGAGTCTGATACATACTGATGTATACATGCTTAATTAGCCATATTTTGTTTATAACCCAGCCAGTACAAATTAAATAAAAACAAGAAACAATGATATCGCCTAATAAAGATAAAGTTAAAATATAATTACCAATGGACTAACTTTTCTCTCTGTGGAATTGTTTCTGAACTGTAGAAAACATTCCGTAAAAAGAAACGAACCAGACAACAAACTCTGAAATAGAATAAAAATAAAACAATAAATTTATGTATTAATGGCGAGCGCGTCTTGTCAGTTATTAATTATCAGTCTAACGCGGTTTTTTTCTATTTTTTTTTTGCTTTCGGTTTACGTTATTAAATTATCTGGCTAACACGTTTCTTTGGGTTTTGTTTTTTTCTATTTTTTTTTTGCTTTCGGTTTACGTTATTAAATTATCTGGCTAACACGTTTCTTTGGGTTTTGTTTTTTGGGGTTTTTTTTTGCTCTCGGTTTATGTTTTAATGGCGAGCGCACCTTGTCGGTTATTAAATTATCGGTCTAGCACGTTTCTTGGGTTTTTTTGCTCATAGTTTAAACTGGACTAGTAGGGATGGGTTTAACGCCCATGGGGTTATTGAGGGTGGGGATAACACCCATGGAACTTCTAGGTGGGAAAGTGGCAGTTCGAGGAAAACAATTCTTTATATCGCATTGAGCATTTAAATAAAAGAAATAATAAATTTCCTTTCGTTCAAATCTTGACTTTTTTGTAGGAAAATCAGATGTTATTTAAAACATTTAATCCCCACTTTGCACCAAAACATACAAACATAATCTATTTGAGCTTTCCTTACCATCAATCCTATTGAAAGTGGCGCTGCTGTGTTAAAATTCACCACAACTTCATCTTTTTTAATCTCATACATGGTGATAATGCCCATCATGACTGCCAAACCTCCGGGTGCCAAGTGAAACAAGGCCATTTTGTGTAGAACTGGCCACGCCCATGATACAGTTACACCGCCATTTGTTGCTACATAGAAAAATGGATAATATCACTTACTTTAAATAAAACTTAACTCGTATGCAAAGTAATTGAAGAACTAAGAGTTTTCAGACATTGTATTTGAGACAGTTGAAGACAACTGATCTACCATCGAGTTCACAAAACATTCACAAAACATACATTATGCAAGAGCTATATAAATATGCTTATTACAGGTCTTTCTTTAGGCCTGAAATGTTATCTAAATTATTAATTGGACATTAATTAACTTATTCACACCGTAATCAAGTCTCGATGTCATCGCTAGCTGGCGATATTTTCTGGATTAGGATGCGTCTGCTGCTCTATGCTCATTCATGATTAAATCAAGAAATGGATAATCGTACCGACTTTAGTAATGATGATCGAGGCTAGGCCCAAAATTCAATAGCTAAATTCTTGGTTCAGAGTGGATCAATTTGACTGAAATTTTCAGCAAATTCCCTTTACATTATCTAATCTCCCATAATGTATCTTTAAGTTAAAAATTTACTCAACTTTCATTCACTATTTATGAGAAATAGCTTTGATCCAGAAACACGAAACTTTGCAGATGGTTTCTTATTGATGTATTCGATACATTAAAGCAACAAAAGTATTATAAATGGCTATATTTTAGTTAAAATAAGACGAGGAATGCTTTGTGAACTCGGGGCCTATAAAAGTTTGTTTCTGATGACAATGTTGTCGCGATGGATGATATCACGCGCCGGTGCAGAGACCTTGCCAGTCTGTCATGTTTTCTGTGAATTAAGCCAACTCAGACTTTGTCAGTTTTAAGACTACATTTTCGACTTTAGGATGATCTGGACAAATATATGGCTTTATTATTCACAACAACCCGAGATCCATTTGTTGAAGGCAATTATCAGTGAAGTGAAATATCTTGCCCGAAGGCTAGACCTGGCATTTATTACAAGGACTGGAATTATGCAACTGAAAGCTCGATATGGAATAGCAACGGCTGTAAGTTCCCCCAGGAATGTCTTAGAATTCATGTCGGATTTAATGCTAAAACAGGATGTCTCCTGGCAACAGGGCTGGATTAAAGGGAAGCTTAGGCTGAAATCAAGGGAAATAAAATGAAATAAAATTTAGTGGGGTTTAACGTCCTACTGTTCTGCTCACACTGGGTTAATGAAAACGGATATACGCTATACAGTGTGCTATGAGGGAAATTTTGCCCGGGCAGCGGCACTATGGCCTACTCTTATAATGAATTCAAACTGTCAAGAGATCTTTTACGTGAACGCCATTGTATACGCGGGTCCTCTGTTTTTCGTCCCATCCGAACGACTAGACAGCTGCCCTTGTCAGGCCCTCCGTCCTGCATCACTGACAAGGGGAAACCCCGCCGGAAAATCTGTCTATTATATCTACCCATACTGACATAAAAATAAATCTTAACTACCAATTAAACTGATATACGAATACATCTATCTATCATACTGATATACAAATATATCTATCTATCTACCATACAAACAAATCTATCTACCATACTGACATACAAATACATCTATCTACCAAACTGATACAAATACATCTATCTAACATACTGACATATAAATATATCTATCTATTATACAAATAAATCTATCTATCTACCATTAAATAAATCTATCTATCTACCATACTGATATATACAAATAAATATATCTAACATACTGATATATACAAATTACAATGGTGTGATTGAGACGGCCAATGATCAGAATATGTTCTCCCTTCACTGTTCATGAAACGGCCCCGGTGTCATTTTCAGTCAGTAGATCCATTCAAGCTTAACCAGACCCTGTCTGACAAGGGATGACACTCAGCTTGTAACCCGATATGATTAAAACACAGATCCTATTTCGTTTTTTATAGTTCAAAATTTTGTTTTACTTGTCTTTACTACACTAGGATCTGGAAGAATCGTTATATAACATGTGTTCTGGTTGATGTGAGGGTGGTCTGTTAGGGCGACTTCTTGGCGTGCTGTGCACGGAACTGTGGGTAAACCACTAGAAACATCAACGCTGATTGGTTAATCAAATTACTGACGTCATTGGATCAAAAGTCGCTCCTATGACCCCTAAGGCAACCTATCAGTGCAACCAGTCCGATCTTTATGTAGTGTAGGCCATCGAAAGTATAAAAAAAAACGAAACGAAATATAGATCTGTATTTTAATCAGATTGAGAAACAACAACACCTACAAATAAAGATGGTGCATGTTTTTACCTTTATTTATGAGTTCAGTTGATCCATACGGTCGGCTCATGGTGGAGGAGTAGATGTTATTTCTAAAACAATGTGCTGAAAGAAAGTAAATCTTCGTTATTTACCCAATGACGTTCTGTGGGGTGGGGGTGGTTGGCCGAATGGTTAGCGCGCTGCACGTTGCGTTATGAGGTCTGTCATTGAGTCAAATGGTGTGATTTCGATTTCCCGGCTGTACGTTACAAGGAGTAGGGTCCCACTGCTAAAGACCCCTACGCGCAAGCGAATTATTGAAATAAAATTGAACCATATGCTAGTCCCATATGCGTGGTTTTCTCCGGTTTGGGGGAGGGGGTCTGGCAAGGACAGTTGTACGTCTAGTCGTTCGTATGTATGGTATAGTACGAGAAACTGATTCCCCCATGTACACGTTGGTGTGCATGAAAAATACCCCTGGAAGTGGGAATTCGATAGATATACCCTGTGAAAAATGTCCCCTGTAGTACACGGCATGGTGTACGTCAATCTCCATGAGAGAGAGGGAGAGAGAGAGAGAGAGAGAGAGAGAGAAGGGGGGGGGGGTAACGTCCACTCTACATAAACTAAAACATTTTGGGACTAACATATGGTTCAATTTTAATTCTATAATTCGCTTGCCCGTAGGGATCTTTATCTGTGGGAGGAAACCGGAGAACCTATGGATAAAACCCACGATGTTGGTCAGGTGACCCTACTGCTTGTCACGTATAAGCATGGAATCGAAACTACGCCACTTGACTCAATGACAGACCGTATGATCTGACGCACATGCGTTAAATTATTCGGCCACCCTGTCCCTCAGAAAAGCAGGGGCGCAGATCGCCAAAAAATAGTGGTAGGGACAGTCCATACGCGGGCGACTATTGGTAAAGATGGGGGTTCGGGCGCCCCCCCCCCCCGAAATGTTTTGAAAACTAGACGCTCTAAAACGCACACTGTGGGTATTTGCAGCATCAGTTTCTGGCAAACAATTCTAATCCCTGAGGCAGCAAATGATACGAAATCTAATCTAAAGACAAATCTTCAAGCCACCGTTCACGATTTATTCTCTCATGTACACTACAACTAGAAATATTTACACTACTGAGATTCCAGCTCCGCCTCCAAATCCGATGGCAAAGGCGAATTTCCCACGTTAAAATAAAAAAATGGCGGCCACATTGAAATAATAACTTTTCGCTTTTTTTAAAAAGTTAAATCTAGTTGTTTATATAGTTCCCATAGCTATTTTAATGATTCATATAGTACCAGTTGTAATATATTATCTATTTTGAATGTGACAGTGGTGATGTTATGTTAGAAATTACATGTTTGGGATGATTTCAATTTCAAAAAATAAACAGTAAGCAAAACATCGGAAATAAGTGGTGGGGACACCGGGACGCGTCCCCACCAATATTTTTAGTGGTGGGGACATGATATACTGTGTCCCCACCACTTATTTCCGATGCAGAAAAGTAGGTCATTAAACCATATTTCATATAATGTAATTTGCGTCATACTTTGAAGTTAATAAAAACAACCACATATTGACAGATGTAATCAGACGCCTTCGATACATTTTAAATTTGTAACGTATCCCATGTCATTGACGCAGTAGTCCCTTGGGAACATCGATTCAAACAACTGTTAAGTTTCAATAGTTCATGTACTGCGCAACATTTACAGAAAATAATATGTACGTTAACCACAGTAAATAAACCGACGCAATGTGTGTGTCGAACAATTAAAATCTAATTTACTAATAGATGTTGGGATATTACACAATAGCAGCAAGTCATTTAGTGATATTATACAAGTCAATCATTGTGTATTTTGTCATAGTAACGTGGGTTTTTCATGTTAATATTTTATATGATAGTTTTATTATATTTACAGTGAAGGTTGCCGTAATGAAATAAATCAATCATTGAAATTATGAGTACACACTAAAAATTAAAATGTAAATTCGACATGTAAGAATTGTAGGACGTTAAACGCTAAAATCATATTCCATTTTGAGACACGCAATGTATACAGGTTGCGACAAATAGTATAATGTCATTATAGCGTGGTTTAACCTTATCAGCGGTGCACGGCAGAGTGATGTCCCCTCGACACTGGTGCAGGGCAGAGCGGTGTAGGACTGGACGCCAGGCATGTAACGGCGTCTAGTGGTTCAGATGGGACGAAAAACCAAGGGGGTTGGGGTTAGGTCATTTCAGGATTAACATATTGTTTCATTGATTCGCTTGCGCGTAGGGGCCTTTAACTGTGGAAGGAAACAGGGGAATCCGGTGAAGAGCCACGAGGTTGGACAGACACATATTATAAGTAGTAGTAGTAGTTCTTGGTGTTTAACGTCTGCTTCCACATAAGTGATATCGCAGACATATTATAACAAAATATAGTGTATTTGTAGTGTAGACAGGGCCTTAATTTGTTATATCATAACAAAATATAGTGTATTCGTGGTGTTGACGGCCTTAATTTGATATAATATAACAATACATATGTGTATTTGTATTAGTGTAGACAGGGCCTTAATTTGATATAATATAAGAATACATATGTGTATTAGAAGAGAATAGGGTGTATCATATGTAGTGTAGACAGGGCCTTGGTTTGATATAATATAAGAATACATACTTGTATGTAGACAGGGCTTTAGTTTGATATAATATAAGAGGACATGCGTGTATTAGAAGAGAGTATACAGTATCATGTGTCTATTAGCAGATAATATTTACCATGTTATAGAATAATAGCCATGGTCTATTGTATTTAGAAATCAATAAAACTCTCTCAACCATGTGCATATAAATAATATATCATACATTCTTACATACAGGCTAGAGTTACCAACTGTTCTTATATACAGGCTATACTCACCAACTATAAATGTTTAGCGCAGATAAAAATGTTCTTTTTTGGTCAAAAGTTCAATTATTCATAATTTTGTCAAAATTTCAATTATCCATATTTTTTTCAAATGTTTTAGTTATATATAATTTTGTCAATTGGTGTTGATATTATTTTTAACGACATGATCATAGGGTGGGGGGAGAGAGAGAGAGAGAGAGAGAGAGAGAGAGAGCTGCAGGTACATGTTGTTCAACCCTATTTCATTTCTAAAGCGCATGCGTTAAACCATTTAGAGAGAGCGAGAGAGAGAGAGATAGAGAGAGAGAGAGGGGGAGGTGGGGTTTAACGTCCACTTGACACAAACTAGGTAATTTCGGGACTAACATATGGTACAATTTTATTTCAAGAATTCGCTTGCACGTAAGATTCTTTAGTAGTGGGAGAAAACCGGAGAAAATCCTGCTCCTTGTCAAGTTCAAAAGCGGGGAATCGAAACCACGCCATTTGAAACAATGACATGATTTGTTATGTTACGCGCACCCGTTAAACCGTTAGACCCCCCCCCCCCCATCACAGGTAGAGGTGAGGTGTTCCGATATTAGAAAATACAGTATCCTGTCTGCCCCTTTCTTTAACCCCGTCTTCATTAGCCCAATCGGAGAAAAATAGTAGGACGTTAAATCCCATTTCATTTCATTTCCTTTCTTTTACATACGAAATACCGTGTTCGATTCCTATCTTTATTCTCTAGCTCTTCTTACTGAGTTATATACAAAGTTCAAATCAATAATTGCAGAAGAATTTGTTAATAAAATATTTATGATTATTTCATGTTTGTTGCCAATAATGTTTTCTGATTTTAAAAAATAAAATTAATAGATTACTCTTTGATGCACACGTATAGAAAAACACAGAATTACATAAAAACCCTTAAATTTACATTGCACAACAATAAAAGGTGTGATATTTATTTTATAATCTCTGAAATTCTTTAAAATTGATCAACTTACCTTTATTTAAATGAAAGCACCTGTTAATTATCTTATCACCTGGTTTAATAATCACGCACCTGTTGTATAACTATATAGATAGATCTCAACTTATCTATGCATCGTTACAAATAGTTGGTTGGATGTTGAGGTTAGTGGATATGAATATTCAGTGGCAGCCACTTGTTCCAACCTTCTACTAACTCCAGTTGTTTGTTGATTCCTGGCTTTGTCATTATCATCTTCGTTATCCCGCGTATCTCACATTTAACTTTATTAAATGAAAAGGGGTTTAACGTTCTACTGTCCTGATTATCATCGTCGTAATCTTAGAGCTAGACTTGTTTTCTCAAAACGATTTTAGAAATGAAGTAAAATGAAATGGGGGATTAACACCCTATATCAGTGATTCTCAACCAGAGTGCCGCGAGATCTTCCTAAGTGTGCCGCGAAATTTTGAACGGCACACTAAGAAAATGTGAAAAAACACGCGATCCCAATTGAGTGTCCACTGATAAGTTCATAGCTGTGTTTTTCTTATTTAGTTTGTCATTCTATGTGTCTATGACTAGTCTCTGTCTACGGTTGTATTCCGTTTGACTTACCATGTTTTTATTTTGCAAAATTCAGATATTTTTCATATATATTTAGCCAGGTGTGCCGCTATTTCTTAATGTGTTGCAAGGTGTGCCGTTGGGAAAAAAAGGTTGAGAACCACTGCCCTATGTTCTGCTCCGAATGGGCTAATCAAGACGGGTATAGCGATACAGTGTGCTATGGGGGAGGGAGATTTTGCCCAGACAGCGACACTACGGCCTCTTCTTATTTTGAATTTCAACTGTCAAGGGTTCTGGTACGTGCATACCAATGTGTACACGGGACCTCGGTTTTCCGTTCCACCCGGACAACTATACGTGGTACCTTGCCGGGCCCTCTGTCCTGCACCACTGACAAGAGCTAACTACGTCGGAACATTCCAGTGAACTCTCTCAGCCAACACAGCACCCACATTTAACGAGCCAACGTCTTACTCACCGAGCAACCGTGGCTCCCACTTAACGTTATAATGCCGTTGTGTACAATCCGTAGTGTGGGAAGTATGTCCATAGAGGAGCTATTTCAATAGTATTACATGCATATATCCTTCCGCTTACCCTGTTTGGGGAGGGTGGGGGGCATCTTCAATAGAAGGCTTGATCTCGCTTTAACTACGTACATCTTATGAAGGCCTTCACGTAATAGCCTGCATATTTCAGCACTAATTGCGAATTGGTACAAGCCCAACTTGTGAGCCTATCAGATTCCTCGATCGTCGCGAATACCAAGTCTCGCGCTTTCAAGTTAAAATGTCTACCTGTGATAATCAAGTTGCAAAGTTCAAGGTTCATTCAATGTCAAGGTTTCCGTGGAGGTCGCGATGTCACAACCGCTGATTGGACGCTACTGCTCACGTGTCTATAGATAGATACCATAGCTATAAGTTCAGGAATCGTGATGTAAACAAGCAACGGCCAGATGTTGTGAAACTCGCAGTCGTTGCTTCAGGAATATGGGAGGTGGGTTTGGATGGATGTCGTCATCTTGCCGTGAAAATAATGGAATCCTAATAATCAATATTGAAGACACAATTGTAATTTAATCCTTTTAAGACATATAGAAGTAGATTTCACGAATTAAAGACACTGATATAGGTATACAATTTCTGAATTTATTAACATGCTACGTTTCGATACACATACCGATATCGTTATCGTTATATACATTCATATTACATTAATGTGTGCTTTTAGAACCATTTTTGTCTATATTAATGTACCAGAGAATAGATGCCTTTTAAGCAGATGTCCCAGGTCGATGACGATGCTGGTATTGTTTTTCCTATTTGAAGAGTATTTGCGTGTATCGTGTATTATTGTAGATGCTACTGGTCAATGACGATGCTGGTATTGTTTTCCCTATTTGAAGAGTATTTGCGTGTATCGTGTGCTATTGTAAATGTTACTGGTCGATGACAATGCTGGTATTTGTATGGATCGTGTATCATTGTAGATGAATTAATGATGATATGATCGTACTGAGAGTTGGGGGGTATAATTTTATTACATTGTTTATCCCAAATAAACAAAATAAACAAAACATCACATCATTTTATACAAAAGAGAACAAATTAATTAATTTATGTTCTCATGATGACAGTAAAACTGAACATAGACGAGTATTGTTGGGTTCACTTTATAACAGACGAGTTTCTCTGTTTTATACACAATGAAATGGGGGGTTGGATGACCGAATGGTTAGCACGTGAGCGCTGTATCATAAGGCCTGTCATTGAATCAACTGGCGAGGTTTCGAATCCCCGGTTGTACGTCCAACCTCGTGGGTTTTCTCCGGTTTCCTCCCACTGCTAAAGACCCCTACGCGCAAGCGAATTATGGAAATAAAATTAAACCATATGTTAGTCCCGAAATGACCTAGTTTGTGTTGAGTGGACGTTAAACCCCATTTCTCTCTCTCTCTTCTCTCTCTCTTTCCCTCTCTCGTATAAAAGACGAGTTTCTCTGTTTAATACACAATGAAATGGGGTTCAACGTCCTACTGTTCTGCTCCGATTGGCCCAATGAAGACGGGTATACGCCATAGCATACAGTGCACTATGAGGGCAATTGGACTCGGGCAGCGGTGCCATGGCCCACTCTTTTATCGAATTCCAACTGCCAAAGGTTATTTTGCGTGCACGCCAATATGTACACGGGACCTTGAGTTTTCGTCTCATCCGAACGACTATACTTTGTGCCTTGCCAGACTATCTGCCCTGCACCACGGGGGAACCACGCTGGAAAATCCCAATGAACTTTCCAGGTAAACACTGGGATCGAAAACGAGACCTCGAGGTTAGCGAGCCACCGTCTTACCCATTTAGCCACTGCGGCTGCATGTTACCCACTGCCAAATAAAAACATATTTAGAAATAACCTATAAAACCACGGCTGGGTAATATTTCTAAATAATGAATGTGCCCCGATTCTTTTAATTTTGTGCAAGTAACGTTTTTCTGCCCACATACCATTACGAATTTCCTCCGATTTAGAGCAAAACCATTACGAATATCCTCCTATATAGAGCACAGCTAACTTTTGAATGTCACATGATACTGACGATTTTTAATATGATTGGTCAAGCCAGTCTCACGTTTGTTTATTGTTTTTGTCGCCGTACACTGATAAACAACATGTTAGCTACACAAATCCGTTTATTTGAATCAATTTGATGCGGGTTTATAAAGACTGAGAATGGTCGAGTTGTACAAGTATAGATAGAAAAATAGGGTTTCATGTCTACGCGACACAAATTTGGTCATTTTGGGACTAACATATGGTCCAATTTTATTTCAATAATTCGCTTGCGCTTAGTGGTTTTTAGCAGTGGGGGGAAACCGGAGGACCTGGAAAATAACCACGAGGTTGGACAGGCGACCCTACTCTCGGGAATCGAAACCACACCAGTTGACTCAATGACAGACACCATGATACAACGCGCAGGCGCTAACCATTCAGTCATCCAACCCCACGAGTTATACAAGTAAAACTTGACTGATCATGTTTGAGTTATACAAGAATGATATAAGCTGGTGAAGATTTACTTCAATAATTCATGATTCGTTCAAGTTGAATGATTGTTGTGTCTGATATCTGGGCTGATCACCAACCTTTCAACGATAACAATATATAATATATAATTCATCAACAACCACTCCCGTCATCTTCATTAATCAGTAGTCTCAACAACCACTCCCCTCATCTTTATTAACCAGCAGTCGCCTATACAATCATACAATTCATCGACAGCCACCAAACGACGTCATTAACCAGTAGACGCATATACAATTATATAATTCATCAACAATCACCCCCCATCATCGTCGTTATCTAGTAGATGTTGTTGTATAGTTGAACATCAACCCGTTTCTATCAATCCCTGGTGCCGGACAAAGTGCTCCATAACTTTCATCAAATTTAGACTATTTTAGAGGGAAGAAATATTTGTCTTAAAGTAGTAATACACGGTGTTTATGTTCCTGTTTCATATTTTGTTCCCGATGTAAATAAATTCTGTATTTACGAAACTGATACGCCTCCTCTTGCTCGAATCACAGGCAGTGTCATCCACCTACCTCTCCCAAGTGGAAACCAGACTTGAAATACGGGTAATCACTCAGCGAGTAAGGCGCAGTTTCGATCCCAGTTTTGGTTCAGAAAGTTCCCCGGTATTTTCCAGCCTTCACGGGCCATGTATACCAGAAGAGTCATATGAACTGGTAGCCAGAGAACGTAGCTAAAACCGTTGAGATATACTAATGTGCTTGTTTTTAACTACGATTGGGTGCCTTTAGTTTCAAGTGGCAAACTCAATTTTTTTATTAATGCATGTAACATCTTAAAAATAAAAAAAATTGTATACTATTATGACTACTTAAACTTACAGAGGCCAATGTAGTGGCACAACTATCGCCTTACTCCAAATATTCGCGTTTAAATTAATGAAGCGTTGTTTTTATCCGACATACACCGTCATACATCTCCCGTTTAAAAATGGTGTTCCTAGAAACGGCTTAACACCTCGATTTTAAATACGATGATTTATATCCGTTTCAGGTAGGATTATATGCTTAATTGTAGTTGGATGTGGCAGAAATTTTATAAATAACAATAATAAATCGTTGTTTTCATGAAAAATATTGGCAATTTTGCTTACAGAGGCCCGATCTGATTCGCGTTGGGATTTGCTACGTGGAACTATATAGCACCATCTCTTATCTCAAAACACGAAGGGTTGAGAGATGAGGTTTGTTATCTAATGAAATGGCTCCAGATAATCTGATCCCTGTTTCTCGAAATTTTAACTAAATATACAATCCAAATTTTAGTAGATTCTTCAATTTTGATTGGTTAAGCACTAAAATCAATCTAGTATTATCCAATCAAATTACTAAAATTTGGACTTTATCGTAGTTAAAATTTCGTGAAACAGGCCTCTGATCCCTTGTTTTGTAGTGGAGTTTCTAAGTATTGTAGACCATGGATCTAAAATGAGCGTGTTTGGATACTAGTAAGATGTAATTGCTCCTGTTCCTATTATTCCTGTGTGTTTATTTATAAGT